TTTGGACCTTGAGATTTCAGTCCGGTGCTCCAATGTGGGTCTCTGTCTCTGTCTTCTTTCATCGCCTGATGAAGGTTAATGTTCAGGAGGATGCCTATATGTTTTTCTTTGGGTTCTCCTTCTTATTTAGCTTCTCTAAGAACCCGAATTATAGGCTCAATGTCCTTGATTTATGGCTAGAAACCAAATATGAGTGAGTACATCCCATGTTCCTCTTTTTGGGTCTGGCCACCACAAGTTTCTTAAGCTTTGTACTAATCACACCCAATGGAGTACATTTGGCCTCTGTAAATTTGATGCCTTCTAGCCTGAGGAATGCCAATTGCCTACTAATTGTGGGGATTACTAAGAATCATCTAGTCATCAGGCTGGTAAAATGACTCAGTGGTCAAGAGCATCTTGCCAATTCCCAGCACCCACATCAGGCAACTCACAACTACCTGTCACTCCAATTCCTGCACACACACACACACACACACACACACACACACACACACCTCATGCACATAAACTCATAGAGGCATGTATGTGTGCACATAAACAAAAATAAATAATCTTAAAGGAAAAAAATTGAGCCAGGCATGGTTCATGCCTGTAGAGACAGGTTGATGAATCTCTGTGAATTCCAGTCCAGCCTGGCCTACATACTGAGTTCCAGGACAACTGGAGCTTCATAATAAGGCCCTGTCTCACAAAAACAAAAAACAAATCCTGTAGTTTATGCCAGAAGGAAAAAGGAAACAAATCTAGGCCAAAAAAAATTCAATCTATAATTAATTAGTACAATATAAACTACATCTACTAATATTTGCTATAGTAGAAATTAAAACATGTACAATGCAAGAATACACAGCAAACGTTCCATTAGCTATGGAAACATGGAGTATAATGCAAGAAATTTTAAGCAGATCTGCAGTCAGAGGCCTTTCACATTAACTTGGTTGCTACCCAACTTTTATTTGGAAACATATGATTCCATATAGTTGTTTTCCTTCCACAGTGGCAGTTTTCAGTTGTTGGTACAGAGACCATGTGACCAGAACAACCTAAAATATTCACCATATAACTTTTGTGGGTTTTTGTTTGTTTTGTTGTTGTTGTTTCAAGACAGGTGCACATCATTGCCTGGCTCGCTATATGACACCATATGACTCTTGACAGGAAATTCTACTGGCCATTATTCTTCTAAAATATAATGGTGAGTTGGTGGTGGCATATGCCTTTAATCCCAACACTTGGGAGGCAGGTGGAACTCTGTAAGTTCTAGGCCAGCCTAGTCTACAGAACAAGTTCCAGAACAGCCAGGGCACACAGAGAAACCTTGTCTCCAAAAAAAAAAAAAAAAAAAAAAGGCAAACAAACAAAAATACAAACAAAATACTAAAATATAATGGTGAAGGCAAAGATGAAGGGAAAAGGGAAGGATTTTCAAGCCACACTAAAGCTGCAAAACTTGGGTTCTTTATAAACAAAGCAAAGTTTTTGGAGGAACTTAAGTAGGAAGCAACATGATGAAATTTAACTGTTAAACCTAGGTTCAGGCAAAAATGGTATCAGTACCCAAGTAGTGGCAACAGGAATGGAGGAGACAGATAACAGAAATTGAGGATTATAGCACAAATAATGAAATCTAGATACAGATATTGGGGTTCAAGTTGAAGATCAGAAAAGCAAAGCAGCCAGCCACTGGCTCTTACCTGTACCTCAGACTGAAATGGCCGATTAAAGGCATGCGCCGCCGCCGCCACCACCACCACCACCACCACCACCCCCCAGCTTCTATGGCTAACTAGTGTAAGCCACCACTTCCTGACCTATATGGCTGACTACTGTGGCTAGCCTTCCACTCTGATCTTCAGGCAAGCTTTATTTATTACAACACAAATAAAATATCACTATAGAGTATGTTATCTGTACTTACATGAGGAATTAGTTGGTTGTTAAGAATATGATTGAGATTGATAGGTGTTATTGCCTGAAAGCTGTTCATAGAAGCTATTTGATAGAATTAGAGGCATAATATATAAAGTCCTCAGTATTGAAATCTACTTTAAATATTTTGTTTTTTTGAGACAGGTTCTTTGTAGTCCTGGTTGTTTGTTATGGAGATCACTATGTAGACAGGCTATCTTAGAACTCACAGAGATCCTCCTGCCTTTGCCTCCTGAGTGCTGAGATTAAGACCATTTATGGTTTTTGTTGTTGTTGATCTCTATATGTGCTGTGACAAACATGCATTCTATGCACACATACAAGTAAGTGTAAATTAAATATTCATGGTAGAAGTGTGTTGTAACATGAAGGCCTGCTAGTTGAGGTTTCTGTCCTGCCCAGTTCCCATAGCCGGAAAGCCCCAAAGAAAATCACACAGAGAGTCTGAATTAATTATAAATTGATTGGCCCATTCGCTCAGGCTTCGTATTAGCTCTTATAACTTACATTAGCCCATTATTCTTATCCATGTTAGCCACATGGCTCAGTACCTTTTCAGAGGGGCAGGTTACATCCTGCTTCTTCTGTGGTCTGGGCAGGACTCTCGAAAGAGCTTCCTTCTTCCCAGAATACTCCTGTTCTCATCGTCTCGCCTCTACTTCCTGTCTGGTTGACCCCTCCTCTACTTCCTGCCTGGCCAATCAGCGTTTATTTAAGACATGATTGACAGAATACAGACAATTCTCCCCCACCAATGTGTATACATGTGCCTGCATGTGTGCATATGGGCATGCACGTATGTGTATATTTATGAGGAAGATATATATATTTAAGTCATCATTTGTGCTTTTTGCAGTTAACAGTAGTCATTCCTTAGAATAAGAGGTCTTGGGTTCTGAATTTAAGTATACAGATTCCTCAAGTAACAAGAAAAATTTTTGTTGCATAAGTAGCATGGCAGACCACTAGATGTCACTAGTTAAGCAGCACGTTTTGACTCTTTAAGTCAGATAATATGGATTTATATGCTGATTCTGTTTTCACATTGCATGCGTGCATGCCTGTGTCGGTGTGTACATGCTACAGCACACATGTGGAGGTCCAGGGAGAACTCTTAGGGAATCAGTTCCCTCCTGCCATGCTGGATATGGGTCCAGGAATCAGTTCAGTCATCAGGCTTGGAAGCTACTGTCTTTACCCATTGAACTGTCTCACAAGCTTGTAGTTTTGTTGCTGTTATTATTTTATTTTGCTTGTGGTTTTAAGACAAAGATCTCTGTAAAGTCTGTCCTGGAAATTACGGTGTAGACCAGGCTCACCTCAAGGTCACAGAGATCCTCCTGTCTCTGCCTCCCTAGTGCTGGGATTAATAGTGTACACCACCACGCCTGGCCTTACATGATGGTAATTTTAAATTCTTTCAGAATATTTTTATAATTTTGTAGTGCATTGTGGTTAACAAACAGGCTCAATCCACTTAGATTTATAAAGTAACGATTAAATTTTAAAAATGTTAAAATATCTTTTTATATGATCTCTCTGTTACTAGGTTCTCTGGGGTTGTGAATTATAGGCTGATTTGTCTTTGCTTTATGTCTAAAAGCCATTTGTGAGTGAGTACATATGATAATTGTCTTTTTGGGTCTGGGTTACTTCATTCAATATGATGTTTTCTATTCTAGCTCCATCCATTTGCTATTTTAATAATTTCTTTACTTATGTTTATGAGTGTTTTGCCCGCATGAATGTATGTACACCATGTGTGTGCCTGGTCATGAAGATGCATAAGATCCCCTCGAACTAGAGTTACAGAAGGTTGTGAATGACCCTTTGGGCACTGAGAACCAAACCCAGGTCCTCTACAGGAGCAAGTGTTCTTAACAACTTTGTCATCTCCAGCCCTGACAATAGTTCTTTCTCTGCCGAACTCTGCTCATGCAAATACTAATTAGCTCTGTGATGAAGATTTTATAAAAATTCATACATACATTTCATTTTTATATTTTAAAAGTTTTGATTAAAAAACTTTTATTTGATATTTGCTATTATTAAGTGTGTGCTATTCAGTAGCATTAATTACATCATTGTGGTACTGTCAGGACTACTTATTCCCATAACTCTTGTCATCCCA